TGTCAAAGTCATCTCGTATCGATTACAGGGAAATTGACAGAGAAAAGGTACCATAAAGCAAAATTAAACTTTAAATTGATATGTTCTGCTTGAATTGAGTTAAAGCTCCAAGAAAATAAATATCTTTATGATGAGATCTCTATGATAACGTTTTTGTAATCGTACTTATCATGTAGTTTGACATTGTGGTATATACAACAGGCAATCATTGATCAGACACTAGTTATCGCCCTCTTACTAATCATTGTAACAACTGTGTATTTTACCCAGGTATTCAACGGCAATAGCGATGCAACAACTGTAGTCAAGCACAAATTGAAGAATCCGTTCATTGCGAGGAAGGTGCGTTTTCGACCAATTGGTTGGAGATTTGTTGTATATCTGTTTAAAAGGTCGTGTATGCGAGTGGAGATATACGGATGTAGCCTTCCTACTGGTAAGYATATTCATGCATGGTCTGGACGACATCACAAAAGCAACAACAACAACATGAACAACAACAACATCAGCAGCAGCTATACTTTAAAACGTACATCATTACATTATATGCATTATCACATTACATGATCATTTGCAGTCACCGACTTAGCTTGCTCGATGCTATTAATTCCACTATACAATACTGATCCACGAAGTCTTAACTAAAACTTAGAAATATAAATTGTAATTTCAATTTGAATTTGGTGTTAAATTTGGTGTTTCCAATATAACACATCTTTGACTAGTTTTAACAAAATTAAGAGTTATAAAAAATTGAGTCGTCTTCATAGTGACCGTGCAATATAAGTTTGAGGCATCTCATAGTCCTCTCGACCAGCTACTGAGACCACTTCTCGTGCAGTCTATGTATAAATCACTGAAAAGCCGAATGTATGTGTGTTTTTGTTTTGTTTTGTTTTTTGTTTTACTTTTTTGCGTTAAATGCACTAGTGTTTATGAATTGCACCACACGGTATAAAAACTGAAGGCAGATCGAAGATTAAATGATCAAACCTTAGTCAAACCGCAAAATGTACATATTACATGTGTTTTGAAAAATGAACTGTACACCGTAATTGGTCAATTATTTGTCATAGATTGTGTAATGATTGGTTCACGTGTCCTTGGAAAGTGGGGCAGTACCTACCATGGTGGTGATGTTTACTACAAATCATATGTAAAAACCATCGATGACAGATACGATGAGGTTGACTTAGAAATAGAAGATGATGGCCATAACAACGATAGATTTAAAACATTGTCAAAGACACACGTTGTACTAGACGTCCCTAATAAACACTTGAACTTACCACCTGGCACAAAAGTATTGGCACCGTCCAACAAGAAGTACTACACTGGGACTCTGAAAAGGAAGAGTGGGTCTTATTATCGAGTAATCTTTGATGATAAGTCAAAAGCTTGGATTCTTAAGAAAGATATACGGGTACTTAAACCTACACAGTTTTGTGAGGGATAATTTTGAAGTACAATACGTATATAAATAGAGCAATAGATACTATACTGGGACCATTGAAAAAAAGAGAGAATTTATTGTTTAGTCTTTGGTTTCGAGAAAGCAAAATACGGATACTTACACCTGCACAATTTTGTAAGGGATAATTTTTTAGCTTATTTAAAGGTACATGGTCCACTAGCATGCAATGCGGTCGTGTTTTAGATTTTTCATATATGTAAAATGAGGTTTAACGGTCGAATCTTTCTATTTTCAAACATAAACAAAAGCTCGAAAGGGATGCTGGTGGACCATGTCCCTTTAAGTCACAATATAGTTATGGATTATGCCAAAAAATATCGAAATAAGTAATTGTCCAAACGTGTTTGGTTTCGATAAGGTTACGGCTACTCAGTTTTGCTAGGGATAATTTTGATATTTTATCCAGACAAAACAATAATAAAAGGTTAAAATCATCAGCGTTCATAGACAAATAAAAATAAGAATGCACCAGGTCATTGTTTCTTGTAAGTCATGTTTTTGTGATAAAGGATGCTGGCTCGGTTATTTACTGCCTCGGTTAGAGTGCAAAATATTGTCAGAGAAAATTGATTTGATTATTACACGTAAAATACATGATTAAAAAACTTAAAAAAACCCTCTTAAAACTTAATGTATCACAAATAAAAATCTGTCAAAACTTCAATATAATCAAGAGTGAAACATGGGTACTTCAATCTACACGTAATATATCGTT